TTTTGGACGCCATTTTATTTCAATTTTTGGGTGGAACGACGTCATTTGCCGTCTGCTCCGTTTGTGTCTGCGTCTTGACGTCTTGCGGACCGTCTGCGGTGCAAACAACCATATGGAAACCAGGCTGTAGTTGCCATAAAGCGTTTCCACACCACTGTGTATCCTCGGGGACTGATCGGCGATACTCTCTGCGCCTTTCTTCGTCTATATGAAAACCAGGTTGAACTGAAAATCCTAAATTTCTCTCAGCAGGTTTAGGAATTGCACACATTCCAAACATAATACAGTGTATCGCCTGATTGGGGAGGCAGCTATACTGGCAAAGCACGGATGATAAGGACGGCAACATCATAAAGGTCAGTTGTGACAGCGAAAGGGACAGCGACAGCGGCTCAAGATGCGATTGTACGACGTATTGCCGTCAGTCTTCTTGTGTCACCATCACTATCGTCCTCTTGCCAATACGTCTTGCCGTAGGCTGTGAACAAGTCTTGGGAACATGGACACTGGATGGCAGATGCAAAAATTAAGATTACAAACAAATGAAACTTCAGATTAACGCAGTTTTATAAAGATTAAGCTTTAAGCAGACAAGAAGTTAGGACAAACGATTAACTCGATAAAAGCAATTACAACATAATAGCAACACTCGTACGGAAATATATAGGCCCTAAGCACCAACAGAAAGAAAATCAAAAATAATTGTTAGTGGCCCTTATACGTTTCCATTTACCAAAGATCAAAACAAATCAAGAATTCAATTAATCATTGTGTTCAGCTCAATTTTCAGTTTTGTTTCGTTTGTTTTCAATATTTCATGTCTTTCGGAACTTTGACTATGGAATGGTTTCAACAAGGCTTTTCCAAAATTTGATGCATGGGAGGGGCCATTTTTAAACATAAGGTTTGGTTGAAAACTCGTTATAAATCACTGCTACAGCAGCGTCTTGTTGAACATCAATGAACATCGGCAGAAAAGATGCGTTCACGAATAAGATGTGGCACCAGGCTGCTCATGATTTTAGACAGAAATGATCCTAGATTTCAATAGTAGATACTTTCCAATTTCAACAGATTTAACTTAACAAATAGTCGTGTGATCAAGATACACGCTTCTGCAATGCAAGAGCTTTTTTAATCAGAGGAAACTTAATTGCCGAATAATTGAAATACTGAATTACAAACGAGTAATAAAGTGCCAATAAAGAATCACTTGAAATGAACAATGTTGTATTCGATTAACAGCACTTCTAATATTTTCACAGCTATACGACTTTTATGGTTTTTTGAAATCTAAATTACATATACTACCAACCTTGACATTTTAGAATTACAGTTCCATTAAGAATCAGGGACCTGTTTGAGAGCACGAAGTTATTTTGAACTAAACACCCTGTGAACCGTGTTGAGATATTTCAAGACAGTCCGGTCGATAAAAACCATGGTGCAATTTACCAACATCCTTATCGATAACATCAAAGATGAAGAATATATTAGTGCCATCAGGAATTGAACAAAAAGATTTAACAGTATACATGAATTGTAACTATTGTCGTAAATGCAGGTGACAAAAAATAATAAACAAAACGAACCAACCCTCGAGGAAACCAACATGAAATGTACTGATCGATATAGGCTTGAGAGTTATTGGTGTCAATCACAAAGACAAGTTTTTAAAACACCCCAGTTTTTCACGATTTCCACGGTGTCCCAGTTTTTGAATAAGTAATTTGTAATAAGTAAAGCTTTAGACGGTTCCAGAAATGTTCCCGAGAAATATGACATTTTGTCACGCTCTGTCGCAGTTGATATAATTGAAGTTTCTCATTCAGTCTTTCTACTTTAAGGATTTGGGAAGTAAATAAGGTGGCAAGTCTATTAAAGTCACCTTTTTAAAAAACGTTCCATTCTTCATGATTCATGTAGAATTCAATGCAGAAATGGACTTCTATTGTGTTAAAAATTATGGCACATCCACTTTTCATCTTTCCAATCGGATATGCATAGGAGCCTGATTATTATTTTTGCTAATAGAGGTTGGACAGTCAACAACACTTCTAAAAGAAAGTATATGTACATTAGAAACTTGATTTAGTAACACCAACAAAAGGGTTCCAACAAGAAGTGTTAGTGTTGATGTTTCTTCACTATACTGCTAGTGACAGCCTAGGAACCCGTTTTCTATGATTTTCATCACAGTGCTGTTTTAAAAACAAGTTTATGATTTACATTAACGTCTGTTTACAATAAGCATTCACTTCATGCCTAAAAACTTCACCTCCAAAATGTTTTAGGCATAGTTGGCCTTTGCCTCTTATTACAACGGACACATTCTTAATTTTGATTCCTTGTAAATATTGATCGATATCCTTTTACACGTGAAAGAAATACATGCATGATTATTTTACATCATATTCTTATCTTTTCTAAATACTTCCTAGGAATAATTACGCAAATTGTCGGAGATCATAGGTTTACAGCTCGACTCTATTTTGCGTTGGATTCATTTACATCATTCAAATAAAATCCAATAACAGCCATTCTAAAATATGCACACTGTTTAACTAACAATTTTTGTGACAGTTGAGCTGATCATTGAAATGAAAACCTCTATTGTTCGTTACAAAAATATGCAATTATGGGTATTTTTAGATTTTGAAATCATGCAAGGCTCATTTAAAGAACAGAACTTTACTCGACGAATTAAGCAGCTTTGGCGTTTACCGTTTTCTTCGATATTTATCTTTTTTGTTTTCTCATAAATGAAGTGCTAAAGAGATTTTTTGGAGGATTCTTATAAACGGTATGCATTCTTTTTTAATAATGAAATTGCTTGGCATCAATGAGTTTATATTAGTATTGTATTTGGATGTTTCCACATTGTATTCTGTTTGTGAATTTTTCAACGGTTTTGGGCCTGATTAAATCATCTTGCTTGTAGTAAGACTTTTTGGTGCATTCTGGGTGACTGGATATACAGTTCATTTCCAGAACTGATACCAACTTTTTCCATGTTTGCTCGATTTCTTTCCAAGAAATTCTTTCTTGTAGTTTTCGAAGGGATCATAGTTTGCTTTTTTGACTTTGGTCATAATGTCTGCCTGGTTCCGGACATCCTCAAGTGCTTTCACTCTAAATTTCCAACCTGGTTTGGCCTCTGCCTTTTCAGATTCAATCAACAGATCCACATACTCTACAGTGCTCAGTGGGTTTGGCTTCAGAGCAATCTCTTCTAGACGCTTTAGACTGTGGTGAGAGTCAGTTATTAAAACAAATACACATTTCTGGACGCTGAGGAATTCATCATAGTGTTTCCTGATCACCTGCTCTACAGTTAGCTTCTTCCCCGTTGCATCTTTGTATCGCTCTTCGAGTTCAGCATACGTTCGCTTCTCCTTCTCACTGTAGTACTCAAACTTATAGCCCTGATTGAAGTGGACGTTCCAAACGCAGTTGCCCGGACATATTCTGCATTTACCGTCACTCATAGCCCAGCACCCATCCTTCTCGTTGTCATTAGCAATACCACAGGGGTAATGGCAACTGTAGTGACACTTGGAGCAGTTTGTAATATAGCCTGTTATATTGACCATTTTGCTTTTTGGAACCTCAACCTCATACTCGAACGACTCGTTAGCTTGTATTTCTGCTTCATGTTGCTCAAGAATTTGCTGCTCACGTCGAAGCTCCTCCAATTTAAAAACACCGATCTGAATTTGAGGTTGCAAGCCCTCTACTGCTGTCTCAAGACGCTTTCGCTCAGCCAGAACTTCCTTTGTGAGAGACAGGCTTGTCGACTCCATGCTGTTCAGGGCGTTGAAGAAGTTCCACATGCTTTGCATTCCCATCCGCCAGAACATCCTGTCGAAATTATCTTCTTGGTAATGTCATTGGTATCTGTGAAAGCCTTTCCCCCTGTTTCTAACCCTTTGGAAATTCCATTGCTCGCAAAAAGAGCTGAGTTGTTGAATTTGAACATGCTGTTACTGCATGGAATGTCTGCTTCTTTAACCGCATCGACAACCGGGGGCTTTTGCCCGTCACAGAAAGTGACAAGAAGAAGTATGTTAGACGAGATGTCTTTACCAAAGACGGAGAGGATGGAATCAAAAACATATCGTTGAGTGTGGGTCAGGCGTGCTTGCGAAGACTGAGCAACGAAGCCAATCGCGTCTATGTGATCCACTTTGTGTGCCTCTGAAAGAGAGAAAAAATCTCGTATCTGATCAACGATGGCCCGGTCACGCTCAATGCCTCTAGTGTCTCCAAATCCTGGCGTGTCAATGATTGTCAATGTGTATGGGACGTTGAGGTGTTTGTTTTCGTAAACGGTGTATGCCGATATGATTTGGGTTTGACTGTGCGCTTGTGACTCTGGTCCCTCTCCACGCTGGTCAACTATCTTGAACCGAAACCCATCTTTCCAGTCTACTTTAAGGATGTAGTTGATCATCCCATTGATTAGAGTGCTCTTACCAGCACCCGTGGCTCCAACAACCATTATCACTTTGTGCTGCTGAACCATGCTAGTTTTCTTGCCGAAGCTGAAGCTTAGGTAGTTTCCACCCGAGCCGGTGGAATGTTGGTCTAAGGGAATCTTCAGAATAGTTGGTGTACCAGTTGACTCGCATCCTTCTGAGAGTACTTCGGCAGTCTTAGCTATTCGTTTCGCATACTTTGCAGGCTGGTGAGCTTGATCCGTGGCGATTTCTAGTGGCTCACTTTCCACGCCATTTCCAGCACTGCCACACTGCGCGGACACCCAAATTCTGTATGGTTCGTTGGGTTTGAGGTCATCAATAATGAACAGGCATGTATCAGCGCTCGTGGATTTCACAACATCTTGATTTGGACCAGCAATGGAAAGCGCTGAAACCTGTGTGTATCTGACCACGTAATTCTCAACCTGCACACCTTCACCCAATACAGCCGGCGGATCCCAAACGATGGTCAGACATGTTTCAGACACTGCATGCTTGCGAACACGTATCGGAGGACCAGCAGGAAGTGTTGTACATGGATCACTACTTTCACTCACCTGACTGACACCAACTCGACAAACAGCGACAACTTGAAACTCATAGGTTGTGAGAGGCTTTAAGTTTTGGATGGTGATTTGTCTCGTGTCCGATCTAGTACATGATTTCTGCCAATCCCATGGGCTTGTCGATCGTAGACCCTTTCCTGTTTCTTGGTATTGCACCTCATAGCGCTCCACCTCCGACAGGCCCATTTCCGGAGGTAACCACTCGAGAGTTACTTCATCATTGGTCTTGCTCTGTATCGACGGCTTTCCGGGTTTACTTGGTGGTTTAAAACCCTTTGTTGTTAGTACGCCCTCTTCGTACAGCAAAATCGAACCTGTCCCTCCTACGTCTGCGCCAAATCCTGTGACTGCAAAAACAGTTTCGTTGGTTTCGGCACCAGCATTGGCCCGGCAAAACTCTGCAAAACCTCTGGCATCAGATCTCATATTTGCAGATGCGGACTTATCAGCAAACCAGTCCGAATGTATGCTCAAATTAGATGCAGGTCCATCGGCAGATTGCAAATGCTGGGACAAGGCCTCAAAGTATTGTTCAGGTCCATCGAGAGGGAAGACAAAGCAGACAGCGTTGCTCACCAACGGGTCTAATACAAGCTCGTCTAAGTCTGCCTGAGACCTGATAATTTGAATACCCGAAAAGAGTTTCATGTAAGCTTTGACGACATTCATCTCTTTCTCCTTGCTAGTGACCCAGCCATTAAGCTGTTCCAGACCAAACGGTGACTGGACTGAATTTCTGATAAAATCAGCTAACGTGTTCTCCTCAACACTGCCCCCTCGGATTGCCGGCAATGCTTGCACCAGATACTCTTGTAAATACAATTTATACTGGACGATCTTCTGTTTAAACGGACCGAACTTCTCCCGAAACTGGGGGAAATCTCTGCAAATGTCCGACATAATCATGTCGTCGCATTTAACCCCCACGTCCTCCAAGCCTTCCAAAATCTCCTGGGATTGACTTATTAAGTTGACACTTATTTGACGAGTCAACTTGGCAGCTTTTTGATCCAACTTATCTAAAGGATATAGCCAAGCCCGTATGGGAACCGCATATTCCCCGTCCCTGCCAAGCATTAAGGGCAGTTTCGTATAGACGCTGACAGCGTCTTGGTAACTTGCCGGGTTATTTTCTAGGTTAAAGTCACCGTGGAAACTACAGCGCATCTTATCAACACCCTCTCGTCCACCCTCCTCTAGAGACCCCTCCCCACCCGCTTCAAATGAAGCTATTCTTTTCACCATGCCATGCATTCGCCCCTGCACATCTTTGATTTCTTCCTCTCTCGTACAGTCCCTATCGAATACGAAAAATGCATGGGCCCCATAGAGGATACCTGTTACAACATGAGTAGCTGTACCTTGGTCAAATATGTCAGAATGCTGAACATTGTGTGCACCTAGATGCTTCATTGTCAACTGCTCAAACCTTGTGGTAGTTTTGTAATGCAGTGTAAGGCGAGCTTGTTTAATAGAAGACTTTTTGTCGTGAAGGAACTTGGCCGAGCCTTTGACCTCTATGAGTCCACCCAAGAAGCTAGCCCTCAACGACGCGCTGATGTTGAGAGAGGATGCCTTGTCGTCCACTCTGTCAGATGACATGATGTCGTACTGTGTGCTGGGCTGAGGACGCACGTCACGATCATTCTGCAAAACAGCTGGATCCCAGAGAGTTAATCCAGGAATCAGACTGTCTCTACGGCAATCGTAAAGCATACCCAGCTGCATGGGACGCCCTAAGGTAGCCAGCTCTAACACGCCTTGTTCTGCCATGGTAATAGTAACGACTTGGCCTGCATAAAGAAAAAAAATACTTGAACTATGACCTCATATACCTGCTAACTATCTTCGAAGGCAGTTAAGTTTAAATCAGTCGCAACAAGGGAACAAAGGCTTTATTCATAACAATTTCGGCAGAACTACGGCACAGCTACTAGTGCTAGTTATGGGATGTACTTGCTTTACTTCGAAAACATCACATGGATTATTCGTCCAGTGTGTGAAATTATCACAAAACCACGAACGGTATAGAATATATACTGACGTGACATTTCAAAGGGGTCTTTTTGAAATACACAGCAAAGGTTAAACTCAAAGGCAGCCCTGCGAAGATGTTGTCGCTGGAATCTAATCGTTGTGGGCCTATATTTGCAAGCATATCTACTCAGATTTTGAGCCTAGTTCTCCCTTCTCATTTCACCTTAGATAAATTTAAATGAATCTGGGGATAATTATGACAGATACTCAAGGAACTTGCTGTTAATAGTCATTGTTCTCTTTACTTGAAGCTGACCATTCAAGGGAGGGAAACATGTCAAGGTTCCAGAAGTTACAGGGAGGGTCAAATCGCATGTATTGTCACTGGCACACTTGCAAGTTGTTGCAATCAGCCTGAAATAAATGTCACCAACTGCAAATGCAAGCAGTCTACAGCCTACTTAGACTATTAGCGCTTTCAAGCGGCAAGCTCTGAGTATCCTTTATCCAGATTAAGACTCTATCTGTTGCGTTGTACTTCTGCACGTTTTTGTTAATTGCAACTCGGGCTAAGCATCGTCAATATTTTTAACGGAAGCTTGAAGCACTACAAAATAAGACCTCCATTTGTTGCGGTGTGAACTGAGGTCTAACCATTTTTTTTGCATGTGTAGCTAGTCAGAATGAGAGAAGTGCATAAAAGCCAACAGATTTATGAACCTCCCCCAAATAGGGACAATTCCTCATGTGACTGGTTGCCAGCATTCGGTAAACTCTAGGCCATTTAGGAGGAAGGAAAATGGAAGGAAATGTGGAAGGTAAACATCAACGAATTTTAAAAATGTCTTCATGGTGAACAAGGCATAAAACCATGTTTAATACATTTTCTTTCTTGAAGCTGATGCGCTGTTTTTATTTAAACCTGGATGTCAAGAGCTAGTTCACGCCCATTCTTTTATTTTATTGTAACAATATTTATGTTAAACGCGTTAAACAGGCTGTCCCGAAGTAAAGCTACAGTGTAGACCTATGCAAGCAACATGCGTTGTAAAAGCTCTCCCTTTGGCAGATTTTGCAGATAATCTTGGTGGCTGAATATCGGACCAAATTTCGACCTAAATTTCTCGTCAGCAGACGAAATAGAACAACAACAGAATAAAAAGCCTGTAATCTAAGATCTTTGGGCACAATCCCAACAAGTGACCAAGCAGCGAGACTTACAAGTCTTGTCGAGCCAGGCTTGCGGGATGAGGCAAAACACGCGAAGGCCAAGTGTTGAACTGAAGGCCCATCAAGATGACGGTCACAAAAAGTGGAGTAGTGTATATCCTAACTAGAAACAGCATATCACAGTCACCGAATCACACGGGCCGCCCCATGGTATTGGTACAAGTACAGTAGATGCATGTACTGTTTGTTTTTCAATGAAAAAGTGTGAATTGCCAAAAAGAGTTCTTCAGCATAGGGCAACCACACAACACTTTCCTGTGTACCCACCTTGAATCGTTAGCTGTCTAGCAGAAATTGAGGGACTCGCACACGGGTACGTCTTCACGGTATACTTATCTCAAGGAATTGTTCAGATTTATGATAGAAAGTGTTTTGGCTTTAAGTCTTATGTTGAACATTTATTTTTGACATTTTGTTTACTACAGAGCTGGCCATTTTGTTTTCAAAATTCTTGAAATAATGCGCCTCCTTTATTGGTCTACAAGCCCCCGGATCACATCTAGGAAGCATTGACTCTTTCAGACATCAGTATACATCGACTATAGTTTAGTGGTGATTGTCCCGAAGCAGTCAATGAGGTATTAGATTTGTGAAATTTGATATCAAGAAACGAAACTTTGCAACATGTTACACTTGCGCGTGGTAGTTATATTTACCTGGAACGTTAGTCAAAATTCCAAGAAACCGTCTTACGAAACATGAAAAAAGAGTTCACCCATACAAACAAAAAGGGGAAAGAAATACAGAGCATGGAATACGCAAGTTCGACTTCTAATGACCATTACAGAGTACAGAAGTGAAAACGTCACGTGCACATTATGCATGTAAAAGGCATTGGCACAAGAACCAGCACGTGAACCAACTAGCCCCACAAATAGGGCTGTGGTGGCTCTCTTTTACAATCTGTCTCTTCTCTGTCGCCACCATTTTTAAAAACTGATTTCATCGTGTGGGTACACCCAAATTTAGTACATAAAGTTCAATCATATGTACATAGAAGGCTCGTAAAGTCCCAAGTCAAGCAGGTCTCAAGTCAAAAAAGTCGCCGCAGTCTACAAGCCTGATTAGCATATTCAGTACAACGGTTGGAAAATGAAAAATTTATTACACACATTGTTGCATTTGTTTTTGCTAGTCAATTATTCAAATTGCTAATCAAATGACGACTTGATTAGCATTATTTGCTAATCATTTTGCTTTGTTATTTCGATCAGTGAAGGGTATTCATGACGGCGTTAAACAAGTTGTCAATGTGTGGTCTTTTGTGGCTGGAATTTCCAATAGTGCTTTGGAAGTGTTGTAGCCATGCTTTGCGCATGCGCAATGAATACAAACTGAGACGTGAACATATGTGTTCATGTACGTGTAAAATTCTCTAAAGGCCAGTTTCATTAATTTACAATGCACGTATGTGAAACCCGTTTCAAATTATGTTTACGTTTAGACATATTTTTTGTAAGGATGGTAAAGTCTTGACCTTCAAGGTTCTCTTCATGTGAACGTGCACGCTTTACAAATGGTGCTCAAACTCGGAACACATTTCTGAACAGCTATTTTGTACCCACTTCTAAAACACGTTTCACGCACGAAACGTTAACATTTAAACGCATTCCTATAGACGCAATATAAATATTTGATCATGTCGTGAGTCAACTTTTAAAAAGAGGGTACTGAAAATGTGTTATATACCAAGCGCCATTATTAGAGTGTCACACTTTACAGTAGTCCAGCTTTCCTCTTAAAACACCCTGGTATATTTAGTCCATTATTTTCGAGGAGTGTTTGCGCAGGTGTAGGGGTGGGCCTTATTTTATAAGCCAGGTAGCCAGTCTAGCTACATGTACAGAATTTGCATTACAGTTTGCCTCCAAATTGTACTTGTACTTTTATAACGCACCATTCCTTAGGAAAACGTAAACAGATGTAAGAGCGGATGAATTTGTATAGACAGAACAGATTTTCCAGATTGAAATAAATTTGTAAAGCGGAAACATGTTTTCAAAATTCGAATAAGATTTTACAAATCCAACATTTTCTCCGGATGGGAACTAATTTTTAAAGTCCAAACCTTTCGTTAAGATTGGAATAAAATTGTTGATTCCGAATATGTGATATCCATTGTTGTGTTAATTTGGTACAACTTTGTATATATAAGTCCGCGCTGGCGGCTAGCCCAAGTGTAAAAAAGGAGAAGTGTAAATGATTCAATTTTGTTGAGTTTAGTTCCACCTATCAGACTAGGTTTCTGCGATCCTTTCATTCTGTTTGTTAAGTTGTGCTCATTACTTTCTATTGAGCTCGAACATCCGATACAATAGAATCTATTTTAAAAATTGGAACACTTCCAATCTAAGAAAAATGTATTGCATCTTTAAAATTTCATTCGGGTTTTAAAAAATGCATGCCAAAAGTAAAAAATACGATTTAATAAAAATGACATTCGCTTTGAAAACGCGTTAGATTAAAAAAAAGGCAGTCCGTTTAGCAAAAGCATGTTCCAATCTTTTTGAGCTGAATTCTGCTTCGTACAATACCTTGACTGAAAAAACCTAGTAATGTATACTGCTTAGTCCTGAATGCCTCTGTGTCTGCGTCGGATGAAACATTCATAATCACGCCAATCTCACAAGACACAAAGAGGGCTCTTTCCTTCAAGCTTTATAACAACCAGTGTAACACGCCCAGGGATATTTTTTGTAGATTACAATTACTACACCACCCGGACAGGGATTTTTTTTATAACTGTCAGTTCTGTACCATCAACCGGAAAGAATCGTCACACAGTTGACCTATATACCGGGAGTTCCCCCAACCCTAATCTTTACAGCCCAAGACTTACAACGGGTTTTTAAATAATGTATCACATTAATGCTTTTCCTTTAAATTCATGGAAACTTTCTTCACGGCAACATCACTCACAAAAAATATTGAAGACTTTTTCATCCAGCGACTAATATTTTATTATTTTGAGGATTGGTGCGCTAGGGATACCCCTAAATCCAAGGCTTTCAGAGTTCCGACTAAAATCAAGGCTTTTATATAACATGTTAAAAAGAAAGCCAGTACGTACATGTACCTCAGCGTCGTCAGATTTGTTTTGAGGGACAAAAATCCCTTTCCTAGGATTTGTGGAGCGAGGACGCTCTTCAACACAAAGCTCATAAACAATTTTCGGTGAACGGATCAATTCTGAGGTAATTTCAAATAAACTTGTGAGTTTTAGCTACTCTCTTCTATTTGCAGCATTGTCTGTTTCCCTGTTTTTGTTTCCATTTGCTCTTTTTCTCCGGGGGGTGGTTCTTTGCCACTCCCATTCCCCGCGACACTCATGTTTACATCTTCAACAGTAGTATGCTCAACTCAACTGTTGCTTGTTGGTTCCATCTGTAGATGGCAACACTCAATAGACGTATAATATACCTAAGGTTTCCAAACGATTTAATAAAGCATTTTTGAGAATTTGTTCATCAATAACTTACCGGCAATTCCAGTCACTTGATTTGAAGTTGTATCTGAGGGCTATTTCATACCAACTCCTCTGCAAAATGGAAATAAAACTGTTAGTTTAGTTTGGCTTTATAGCTCTAGAGCAATTCATGTTGTGCAGCGTCTATGGAACTCTCTACGAGTCAAATTCTAGTGAGCAACAAAGGGCTACTTACAGTGTACTACTACTAGTGATCTCCCCGTTTTTAGTCGACCTGAAAAGTCTTCAGGGTGTACTTATGTTAGAACATTATGTACACAGATATAATTAATCCCAATCATCTCTTCAAAGACCAAACAGGAGATTTATTTCTTATGGCTGTGAAATCGCAGGGAATTTGTCATACAGAGGCGTTTCAACTGAACTTGTCAAAGTGTATTTTAAATGTTAACAGATCTAATCACATCAAAATGCCGTGTTTTTATTCAACATTGAACACATTTGTAAAATAATGCAAGGAAGCTTAAATATTGTGTGTCAGCTGTAAACATAATACATGACCTAAAACAATAATACTCGATGAACATGTTTTTTCAGGGAATTTGTACAAGTACACACTTCAGGAATTTTTTTTAACTGAACGCAAACTGGATATACATGTACTGCTGAAAAACGCGACAGTAGAACGTGGGTCATACAAGTGGAGTATAAGCAAGAGGATTTTATGTCACGGCTTCACTGAGAAGGGATTATGCACAAGTTCATATTAATTTAAATCAACATACAAGTAAAGTGAAATGAAAAACTGATCTTCTGAAAGTATACAGTTGAGCCGTGGTAATACAACATGTACATTGGAGATGTCACATCCACATGAATGGACTGTGCATGAAACTCTACAAGATATACGCGACAAAAATGGAAGTAGTTCAAGTCAACGAACTTTTATGGGAATTCCAGATGTTGCAATCACTGTGATGCATTGTTTGTTGCAGTCGGACATCTTTCCATTAACAAGAGTGTAATCTTCTATATTTCTCAGTGCTGTGTGAGGAATGTGTAAGTAATTCCTGCTCAAGTAATAATTCTTTTGTGCATTTTGAGAAGCACCCATAAAAGCTTATGCCACTGCCAGTGAACACCCGACGCGTTAATTAATTGATGAACATTGTCATGTGTGAAAACGTATGGCATGTTGATTAAAAACATGTTTAGAATGATATGTACTTATTATTTGGGCAAGTAACAATATGTACCTGTCTATATTTAGAATGGTACCCTCCCTTTACTAGATTGCAGTGTGCATTCATTTAGTACAGATGACAAGCGAATGAAATGACACAAAATGGTTACATCTATAAAAGGAGAGGATGACTTAGAAAATTATTGCTTAATTTACTGTTCTTTGGTGGTAATAATATTAATAGACATTTACTTTAAAACTGCTTCAACTAGTTCTAGGTATGATCTGACAAGTGGCGAGGCCAGATTTACGTACAAGTTACGCACAGATTTCAGGGATGCATGGATAACTATCAACGCTTTTAATCGTATATATCTCCTTGAATTCTTTAGCCGAAGAAATGCATGATTATGTGTAGGGACCGTTGCAGGGTTCAACTAGCTGACGACGCTTTGCTTATATTAAAATATCCACGTACACTACTTACCTCGCACTTCCTTTTGACGTGAACTCCGAACCAACAGCTTTCCCTGTTACGGAATTATGAATTAACGTGTATAAACCTGAGGTAGTGTCTGCCTTGTTAGGATAGGTTTCAGCGAGTGGCTTCGAATCTGTCCATTTACATCATGCGAGACGGTGAGGAATAAAGGTGGGTTTCTGAGTAGTCTGTGCAACGAATGCCTTTATACTGAGGGAAATTCCTTGACGTCGCAAGTGGTTGCACAATCAGCTAGAGGTTTCCCTACAGATGTTGCAACGTAGATGGGCACGGACGTAAGGTAGAAAGCCATAGCGACTTGGGAAATCCATTGGTGAGAAATCGTTGCTCACCGTACCAGCCTAGTACAGGCTGTTTGTTTCACGTGGATCTGGATCACGATGAGTTGGTGTACGGACACCTAAACCCGTGCAATACTGGTGCGAACCAGCGTTAGATCGCTGATTAAGTACAGACGCGTGTGAAACACACAGACATTGCGCAAACGAGCTCGTACAAAGCAGCCTACGAAGATGGGTTTCACAATATGCAGGGGCGCAGACTAAAGAGAGAACCCCATCTCCCTTACCTGTTCTCTGTGTGATGCTTCCAATTATTTGCTCTCATTTGATTAAGTTAACAATAATAATTAATACTTGAAAATTTATAATGCACCGATTCCATAGAAATGATCAACAGTGCAGTACATGTTAACGTGAAAAAAAATTAAGAAATGAAAGGATAAGGATAAACGAATAAGGATAAATGAATGAATGTCACCGCGGTAGTACCCAAACTGCATTATGGGAGTACGTCTGCCACGCCAACAGGGAGAACCTAACCCTGCTGGCATCGGTGATATATCGATCTTTCCCGGGGACAGACGCCTCTAACTACTTATGATAAAAGAAAAGTAATTATACCAGACACGGTGACACTAAAATAACGAACTACAGCTAAACCTACGTTAAAATCAAAATTAATAATAACCCTTCTAGATAAACTTAATAAAATCACAAATCTTTCAGTGATATACTGGACAAATGCAATATTGATGAAAAAAGGTAAGTTTTCACTTTACATTTAAAAACGGCCGGGCGTTGCTCACACTGTAAATGCCATGGCAAGGCATTCCCTAATTTTGGAGCAGCCATTGCAAATGCCCTGTCACCAAGCGTGGGTAGCATTTTACCGTTAGGGTATAACATGGAGGGAGGACACAGAAGGAGTTGTAACTCAAGCACTTCAAAGCGTCAATGATGGTCGCCGCCGCGTCTGACGAATAATAGAAAACATTCCAAAAATGCCGTATTGCTGCCTGCATCTTAGCCAGACAAGCGGGGCCAGTAATATCCTGGCAATACTTGTAGTTTTTTGCTTGCAATTAAATACAAACTATCGATGTGACCAGGAAATAGAGGGAGAAAAATTTCTGATAATAGACCTACTTTTGCCATCATAAATAAACTTTTTAAATGTTGACACACTGTTTCATTATCCATGCAAAGTTTGCAATTCTAGTCTCCCCGTCCAATACATCAGTGTTCAAAGACTAGGTACGAATTTGGCTAAGACTGGTTATCAAAATCTTCACTACTTCTGAAAAGCTCAGTTCATTAGGAACAAATGTGCTATTTCATCACAGGGAGACATCGTGAAATCTCATAAAATACACCTTTGTACAAATGCCATAATAAAAATTATTCAAACAAAACACAAAATCTTACAAACAGTTTGGCTATTTATTCCAAAAAGAAGTCAAGAAGAAAGCGTTCGATTGGGGCAACAACTGCACATGAACACTTCGGGTACACAGCTGGTAAAAGCAACTTCGCACGCACTAAATTTGATGTTGTTGACGGATCATATCAAGCACCAACGATGGCTGAATATTCAACTTCCTATACTACAGTACACAACGTTTTAGGGATGCAGATTTCCAACGAAAAATTGCGGCGACGATCATAGGGTATAAAGAGGGCTTATGGTTGCAGAACAGGTGGTGAGTAGTAGGCGTGCGCTGCGCTCTGGCTATGGACATACCGGGTATGCCAGAAAGCGGTATTTGGCCAGACCGTACCCGGGCAGTTCAAACTCCTTCTGTGTCCTTCCTCCATGGGTATACTTAACAAAGGACCGTTGCTTGCTGACCAGAGATAATACCTAGATTCCTTCTTAATGATGTCATGATTCATTAAGTATCTAGGGCAAGACCATGGATAGCTGTGCATGTTAGCAGGATGATTTTGAAGTTAATCCTGTAAAAAACAGGTAACCAGTCCAGATGATACAGTATCGGTGTTACGTGTACACCAGGCAAGATATGTCCAATGTCCTGTCCAATCCATATACACACTCTAGACTATTGTTACCTAACACATCCCCCTAGAACTTAGTCTGTGTAGAATTCCTGAGATTCCGACCAAACATTGACCAACACTAGGGAGGGGGGCTCTCTCCGCCCCATATCTTGCTTCAAATGGTTATGCGTTGAAACTTGGGTGTATTCGTATTGACGTCTAGCTGCAGCATTCTGTATCCGCTGTAATCTCATTATCTGTGCAGCTGAAAAACCACAAAATACTGTAGCTGCCTTGACCTACAAAGGTCACACCAACAAATGACCTTTTATGCAAATGACTTCCCTTCTTCACCATATTGTTTTCGCGTGCGTGTTCTGGGAATTTCTCTGTGTCTTTAACCATATAGCCAGCGTAGTACGTTACTTATTTCTTTAACTGTGCGAGAGGAAGCGTCCCGCATATCGTCAGTCTCATCAACCGGGCAGTGACAGTGATTAACTGACTGACTCTTAAAAAAAGAGAGACTTTCTGGCGTTCGGCCGCCAGTCCACATGCGCGCTGGGCAACTCGCCCCAAAAGTGACTGACAGTTTCGCCCCCATTAGACGGGAGTATATGCGATGCTACATTGCTAATACTAGGACGCCGATTTGGCTGACCTCGTCGAGCGAAGCCACCTCTGGGTCGAACAGCAGAGAATGTGGGTGAGTCCTGGCTATTAACTTATGTTGAATATTTTCAACCCACAAGACTATTACAATAGTCCAGACGGCTGGCCACAGATGTCACAAAACACTGAAAGCGAATCGGGAGAGAGGAATTTACTGATGCGCCTTGATTGTGGAGGTGGAAAAATGCTGCACAACAAGCCTTAGTGGTGGAGGTGTCCATTGTCATTTCTGAATCAAACCATGATCCAAAATTCCTGACTCACGTGGATGGAGGGATTACAGAATCGCCCACTGTGACATTGGAAATATTTTATTTTCTGCAACTGTTGCCTAGAGCCAATAATCAGGAATTCACACTTAGCATCATTGATCATTAGCCTGTCTTGCAGCATCCAATTTCTAATGTCCAAAATACAACTTTCCATTGCAGCTAGAGCACTTTGGGAGGAAGTGTCATCAGGTTTAACTGATAAATACAACTGTATGTCGTCTGCATAACAATGAATGTGATGGATTCTGTGTAGGACTCGCGCGTAACTGGCCACTGTTTGTGACTGACACCTAAAATAGCTTGAATAGACACACAAGCTTCTGTTCATCACTTTTTAACTGAGAGTAATCTTAATTCACCAGTTAAGACTTGTCACATCATACATCTTGTACGTGTACATGCCTGGATGGGGTAGATGGGGCTCCTTAGCCTTGATCGGCAATCCATCTAGGACAAGGAAAACTCCGAATTCAAACCTCNTGCTTCCTTGCGGATACCTCCGGGAGGAGGAAGGGCTAAGGAGTAAACCTGACAGAAATCTGGTCCGGAGCACCTAAGGCAGCTGGACGTCATTTCTGACTTCCTTCTGGCAGCTCCTGCAGCCAACCTGGTGCCAAATGTATTGCTCCGCTTTCCTTTGGACCACATCAGCGAGGCCGAGAGGGTGATTTTCAAATCAGCATGGGAGGCAGCAGTTTACGAGTGATAAGTCCAATCTGATTGGCGTAGGGTAAGACGTTACGGGTTGCCTCCACCGGTGGGAGGGACCATCGTGTCCCACTGGTCAGCTACTTTCCGCCTCAAGCCGGGCAGCCCCCGGCCAGTAAGGTGCCGACCCGCCACGGTCTGCCTGCTTCAGTGGGTGCCTAGAGCTCAGAGAAAACTCGATATGCAGACGGGAACATCGCACCCAGCAAACTAAGAAGAAAAGAGAAACTGCCAGCCCTGCGCTCGTGAGCTGGAACGTCAGCACCATGCGTCCTGGCTTACCCGACGACTTGCACCAGATTGACTACTCTCGAAAGACGGCCATCATCAACAGTGAACTTCTAAGACTGAATGTTGACATCGCTGCTCTGCAAAAAACCTGGCTCCCAGACAGCGGCATGCTTTGTGAGAACGACTACACCTTCTTCTGGCGGGGTAGAGTAGAGGAGGAACCACGACTGTATGGTGTTGGGTTTGCTGTCAAGAACAGCCTGCTTCCAGCTACTGAACCTCCAACAGGCGGCACGGAACACATCCTGGCCCTGCAACTTTCCACCTCTGGAGGCTCCGCCACCATAAACACTGCTAACACGTCTGACTCCAAGTTCTGCAGTCAGTTCACTGATGCTGTTGCAGCAACCCTCAAGGACCAGCCGGCGTTCGAGACTGCAGAAAAGAGATGGAACTTTTTGCGAGACACCATCCACGACGCAGCCCTGTCAACATTCGGTAAGAAGGAGCACCGAAAAACAGTTTGAGGAGAATTTCCCAGAGATGGAACCTCTTATCAAGACCAAGCGTGAGGCTCTGATGAATTACAAGAGGGGACCCTCAGCTGGGAACCTCACTGCTCTGAGAAGCGCCAGAAACAACGCTCAGAGAACTGCACGTCACTGCGCCAACCACTGTGTACTGGCTGAACTTGTGTCGCAGCATTCAAGACGCTGCTGACAGAGGGAACACACATGGATGCTACGAAGGGATGAAGAAAGCCTTCGGACCTACTGCGAGGAAAACAGCTCCCCTGAAGTCATCTTCTGGCGTGACCATCACTGCAGTAAACAGATGGAACGGTGGGCAGCGCATTACCAAGACCCCAGTCTGCCCGTCATAGAGGAGCTTGACAAATTGCCAACTGAGGGGGAGCTCAGCAAGGCCATTGACTCCGTCGCTCATGGCAAGGCTCCATAAACGATTGCATCCCGGCAGAGGCATTGCAGTGCGCTAACCCCACTCTATTACACCACCTCCATGAGCTCCTGTGTCAGTGCTGGGAGGAAGGCTCCATACCCCACGACATGCGCGATGCAAACACCATAACCTTCTACGAGAACAAGGCAGATCGCAGCGACTGCAACAACTACAGAGGTAATCCGCTGCTCAACATCGTGGCGAAGGCATTCGCTCGTGTTGCACTGAAAAGGTTGCAGAAGCTCGCTGATCGAGTATACCCGGAGTCCCAGTGCGGCTTCAGAGCACAGAGGTCCAGCATCGACATGATTTTCACGGTGACACAGCTGCAGGAAAAGTGTCGGGAACAGAAACAGGCCCACTACATCGCCTTCATCGATCTCACCAAGGCTTTTGATCTGGTCAGAACAAAAGGTCTCTTCAGGCTCCTGGAGAAGATTGGATGCCCTCCGAAGTTGCTGAGTGTGGTTTCGTCCTTCCATGACGACATGCAGGGTAAAGTACAGTTTGACGGTTCATCCTCCGTCCCATTCCCCATCAAAAGTGGAGTGAAACAGGGA